GGTCGGGGAATCTGCATTGCCATCTGTGCTCTAGTTTGCTGGATCTGTGATGGCATCGTGACTTTCACTTTGCCTGTGATGCTTAGGTCGATTGGATTAGCTGGTGTTTTTGGCATTTATGCCATTGTATGTGTCATCTCCTTGATTTTCATATACTTGAGGGTTCCTGAAACGAAGGGCATGCCCCTGGAGGTCATTACAGAGTTCTTTGCTGTTGGAGCGAAACAGGCTAAACACGAGTAATGGGAGAAGCTTGATTCTGTTGTTCTTCGTTGGTGCTAAATATGTTATGTCTTCTATAGGTAGTTTTGTGCAACGTAATTCCTTCGAGAATTCGTTTATTTGTGTAATTATATAATAGAGAAATACCATACCTTTTCTCTACTGTATGTCCTAAATTTGAACTGCTGGAATCCATTGTCTTTGGTAGCAACTAAATAGCAAGCGGAGTGCTTATAATGAATTAAGGAAAAAAAAAAAAGAAACACAGCCATGCATAGCTTTCGAGGCCTGCATTAGCCCTTTTCTTTTTTGGGACCCGTTCCCTTCAATACCAATATAAGGGCAAGTATATTGGGAATTATGAAGATGAGGATAAGGATATTGGACGTAATTTTTTAAACTAAAATTTGACGAGTTAATTTAATGAAAGTACTAATAACTAACCTTTTTCATTGATTATTATTTGCTCACTCAAAAAAAAAAAAAAAGTGTCACTAGTTGTTTACTCAGTTATACATAACGTTATCAATGCACCTTCCATTTCAATTTCGTCCGTCCACCTAGGAAAAAAACCTATGTGACGGATGAAAATTTTACGTGATAATATATGGTGATTTAACATGTTCCCGCAAGTGAGATTTTATCTTTTAACATGCTCCTTAAGATGGTAACTCATTTGAGAAGATCAATCTTGAGATTCGTTGGAGTTTAATGGACTCTGATACTATGTCAAATCTTGAGATTCCATTTTCAAAGTCAACTTTATTAAGAGGAGTAACTCAAACATTTATAAGTTAATTATGTTATCATCTTTATTCGATACGAAATTTTATCCCTTAATACAACTAAATTATATAAAACAATGCAAG